AGAAGGCTGTGCACATCTCGTGCCAGTTGAGACACCAGGCGCTTGCTGCTGAGGCATCAGGGTCATAGCACTGCTGCTGCTGCTGCTGCTGCTGCTGCTGCTGCTGCTGCTGTTGCTGCTGTTGCTTCTGGTGTTTATGCTTGTCTGGCTTCTCCCCCTTCTCCTCATGCTGCTGCTGTTCCTGATCCTGCTGTGGTTCGGTCGCGCCCTGCTGCTCATGCTGCTGCTGCTGCAGCTGCTGCTCGTGTTGCTGCTGCTGCTGCTCTTGTTGCTGCTGTTGCTGTTGCTCCGATGCGTTTTGCATGTGTTGAGATCCCCCATGTTCTGCATCACGGTTCTGCGGTTGCTGCAGTTGCTGTTTCCTTTTGTTTTTCTGCTGCTGCTGCTGCTGCTGCAGCGCAGCAGCAGCAGCAGCAGCAGCAGCAGGTCTCCCTGACGTGCATGCAGCAGAACTCGAAGCAAACAGACGCAGGCCCTCCTTGCAGCTATCTAAACCCAGCAGCAGCGGCTGCCCCCCCACCAACACCCACAACCCCACTCTCGCCCCGACTACCTTTAGGGGTATAGGCGTAACGTCTGCTGCTGCTGCTGCGATTGCTGCTGCTGCTGCATTTGCTGCAGCTGCACTAGCATTTGTCGCTGTAATTTCTGCTGCTGCTGCTGCTGCTCCTGCTGCTGCTGCTGCTGCTCCTGCTGCTGCTGCAGATGTAGCTGATGAAGAAGAAGATATAAATGATGGGTCTTCTGCTGCTTCACTGGGGGGAACAGCTTCTGCTGCTTCTGCTGCAGCAGGATACTCTGAAAAGAAGCAGCAGCAGCAGCAGCAGCAGCAGCAGCAAACCAGGAGAAACAGGGTACGTAACCGACACACATACAGCTCACGGGGGCCCCTGAGCCCCCTGGGGGCCCCCCGTTCCCCCATGGGCTCCTAAAGATATACAGCAGCAACACTAGGGGGGCCCCCAACCCTCTGTATAGATATTCGCTGTGCCCCTTGGGGGCCCCCACGCCTTCACTGCAGCAGCAACAGGATAAAGGGTTTGTGTTGAGTGGTGTTTGATTCAACTAGGTCTCTTAAGCTGCTGCTGCTGCTGCTGCTGTGATGCTGCTGCTGTGCTGCTGCTGCTGCTGCTGCTGCTGCTGCTGAGCTGCTGCAGCTGTTGCAGCTGCTGCTGGTATTCTGCTGCTGTTGCTGCTGCTTGTTAAGAGAATATATATTAAATAATATTAAATATAAAAGAATAACAAAGAAAGAATATTTATATTTCTTTTTTTATGAAGCAAAAGCAAGACAGAAGGAGAAGAGGAGGCAGCAGCAGCAGCAGCAGCAACCGGGGGCCCCCTGTAGTTGCTCTGCCTCCTCACACGCAGACTTGCTGCATTTCTTTGTTGTATTTATATTATATTTACATAAAAAAAATAAATAAAAAGAAATAAGTACACAAACAAATATATTTAAGGTGCTGAACACGACAGACAAAGAGAAAACATAGGGCCCCCCCCAGTGTGATGGGGGGCCCCCAGCAACCGAGGAAGGCGGGGGGGGCCCCCCTCTCCTCCTCTTGCTGCTGCTGCTGTTTTTATTTTTATAGGTAGTTTAATTTTTTTTTAAGGTCTGTATTTGTCTGCGCTAGTTTTGGGTTTCTTCTTCGTTGTAGCTTGCTGCCTCTTGTTGTGTT